CAGATTTTGCTTTGCTCACACAAATCAGTCTCAAGATATTTAACTTAAGCTGGCCATAGATGGTTTGAATCTCAACCGGTTCAGCAGGGACCGACAGATTCAAAGCATGTATGAGCAGGCTGATTGTACCCAATATGATTGATCGTTCAACTAGCCTAATTTTTCATGCGATTGTCAGCGGCTATTATAGCCACTAGCAATAATCACTGAGTTCTCCCGGTTGGGACGGCTCCCCGTGCCTTCTGCTGGGAGAAACACAATAGCTCCGTGGGAGGGATTCCTCCAACACAGACTGTTGATAGGTGAATCCTTTCCTACAACCTGTAGTTGCAGGAAATAAAAAATCGCACAGTCTATGGCTGGCTTTAGGAACCACCATTGTTCCATAATTTTCACTAGATATGTAGACTAGCTACCAGCTGACCCAAAATATAGCACAACTAGCTGTATTTTCCATAGACTGTAATGAACCATATTTGCAGCACTGGCTAAACTCTGTTCAGATTGGGGTGACCGGAAGATCGTGCCAATGGAGCACAGCTAGACAAAGTGAAATACTACAGCGATTGTAAGCTCTGATAACACTGCACTAAAATAAAAGGATTCAAAATTCTACGGTATCTGCTCCAGATGAGCAAATGGGGAAAAAAAAAAAAAAGAGAGAAAGAGGAGGAAGAGAAAGGAGGAGGAAGAGAAAGGAGGAGGAAGAGAAAGGAGGAGGAAGAGAAAGGAGGAGGAAGAGAAAGGAGGAGGAAGAGAAAGGAGGAGGAAGAGAAAGGAGGAGGAAGAGAAAGGAGGAGGAAGAGAAAGAGGAGGAGAGAAAGAGGAGGAGGAAGGGGGGGGAGGGAGGAGAAGAAGACCAAATTATTGCTTGCTGTAAGCCATTTCCAGTAATCCACATTACCTTCATGAAATGCTGTGTGCAGGAAGGAGTCATCAAACAGAAGGCAATGTCCCTCTGCCCAGCACTGTGGCTCTCCTCCAACCACCAATTCACAGTTGGCTGGGATTCGTAAACCTTAAAATAGAACACAGATTATCACAAGTTAAAAAAAAAAACAAAAAAAACACACAAAAAAAAAACCTGTTATATATTGATATTTTACCACAATACCTCCATCTACTTCCTTGCAGATTATACTGCAGAAACATACAAAATGGCACTACACGGTGTGACATACACTGTATGTCTTGCATTATGGTCTTTGATTGTTGTGAATATTCCCAAAAAAAAGCACACTAGGGTTGACAACTGTTTAAACATTGATATGCAGCTCAGGCAGTCTATCAAGTCATTTTTTTCTCCTTTAGCCGAGTATCAGAAAATCGCAATGCTTTAATCTCATCTAAGCATAATACACAAAAATATTTGTTTTGTACTCCCAGTCAGTGAAGTGATACATCTAGGGGAAAGAGAACACTGTTGGGAACAGGATCAATTACCTGGATGAATGAAATGCAGATGAGGGGAACAGACAAACTTGGGACCTAAAGTAAGAGCAGGAGCAAAATGCAACCAACAAACTATGTAACAGGCTTTACAAAGCAATGGGCAGTAGATGACTGAGCTTGATTTATGGTAAATCACAAACCTATTACTCTGATTTAGAAAGTGAGAGATCTTAAAAAAAAAAGAAAAAAAGAAAAAAAGAAAGTTATGTTTATGCCCAAGATGCTGATTCACTTTACTACATCCTAGCTTTTGAGATTCTTCCTTCAGTCAATGGAGGCCTGACACAAAGTCTGCAAGTCCAAATGGTGTGCAGTTTGTTCTCTTTGGAAAGTAGACACAGCCGAAATAGAAAAGCCTAGCCCATTGGCAGCAAGCTGTAGAATGGGACCTATTCTCCCTTTGGGGAAGCAGTAATCTGTCTGACATATTGCTCTGTCGACTCAAAGCCAAAGCTCCTCAATCAGCAGGGAGCATGAGCTTTACTGATTACAGGGTGTGTTAGACCTCTGCGGAGGAATCACTGCTTCCACACAGAGCAAGGGTCGCACTCTGCAACATCCACGATAAACATAGGCCTTTCTACTCAGGCTTTGGCTCGATTATACATTATATATTGTAATTTTAAAACTGCAATACAGTCAACCCCTTTATTTTTCTGTACGTATGAACAGAATTCATCTGATGGAAGCTCCTTTTATTAGTCAAATGATTTGTAATTCTGATCATCCATTCCAGAGATATAAGCTGAGCATACATTGTTAGTTTTTTTTTTTGTTCATCTGAACGAGATGGTCTCCCTCCCCAGGACATTGTATTCTGGCAGCAGCACCACGGTCAGAAAACGATGATCAGCAGCATCAGCTAATTGGCTGCTGCAGAACAGATCTGAGGGACTTGTGGTTTGTATATTACTCCAAGAAAAGGATTTTACAGGTAAGTACAAATTCTCTACTGTTAACTGTACCGTACAAAGCAGGATCTTGGGGGCCATTCACATGAGGTGCGGTGAGACTGCATTGAGCGGCTATTCTAGTGTAGTCCGGTCGCAAGACAAGGCAAAATACCTTGTTGCCAGTGTGGCCAGTTCACATCACTGCTTTGCAGTGGTGTGTGCTGACAAAGTACTGCATGCAGCACTTTTTCCAGGGCAGTGAACTCTAAAAACTGTCAATGTGTAACATTTTCAACTCCGGTTTTTTTTTTTTTTTTTTAAACAAAACCACACAAGAAACTGCGAGATGCCCTTGTATTGCTAGAGCAACACTACGCTGGTCTGGCTGGAGAACTTGGCACACCAGCATCAACACAGTGGCTTGTGTGAATGGCCCCATAATAAATGTGATATCGCTCTCTTGGAGAAAGATGGCTTTATGGCACAGGACAGCCTTGTCATTTTGTAGAACTAGTGTATGAAGTGTGGCCTCTGATAGGTGAGCCAGGTTAAGGTCCCATGGAGTCACAGGGGAACGCAATATGTGCAGAACAGAACAGCCATAGACAAAATTTGCCCCTTGATGGTACTCAGGACCAGATGTTGGTCCATACCGAAATGGAGAAATGACTGAATGCATCCCAGGTAGGCCTTTCAAGTGCAATGATTGCAAGAAGGCAATTTCCTAGTCTTTCAGAGCGTAGTGATGATCATATCTAATCAGAACCTGAGCTTCAACAGCCATTAAAGCCAGCAACCGTGAAGCAGGATAATAGATTGAACCTTGGGACAAAAGGTCAAACAATACAGTAGCACCCATGGAGAGTCTGCTAAGAGCAGGTCAGAGTACCACGTTCTTCTGGGTCAGAAGAGTCACCCTACATCAATCCTACAGGGCAGATGAGGGAGGAGCTATAGAGGAGGATCAGGCTAGACTTATTTCATGGTGTCACCAAAGCATCCACTGCAAATGCCTGAGGGTCTCCGGACCTGGTGACAAAACCTACACAGTTTTCTGCTGAATTTGGATGCCAGCCCATTCCCTCAAATCCAGATGCTGATGGCTGAGAAAATCCACCAGCTAATTTTTAACGCCTCACATGTGGATGCCATACAGAGCCAAAACATGCAGTTCAGCACAAGTGAGAATCAAGTCTGCTTTTAAATTACGCGGTGAGACTTCTTACTGATGTTATTTGCTGCCTGCATTAACTGACCGTATTCTGGTCTGCTGACTTCACAGCTGAAAGGTTCAGCATTGAAGGGATAGCCAAATTGCCCTGAGTTCCAGCATGTTCATGGGAAATCAAGCTTACCCCACAGTGAGAGGGCATTTATTACCCCTCCCAAGCCCAACAGGTTGGCATCCATTGTGACAACTTTCATCATCATTCGAGAAGAGGTTTACCGGATTCCAGTCCCTGGATGGAAAACCACCATGCCAGGGAGAGTCTGGCTTTGCGGGTCAGATGCATGAGGCAGTCCAAGGACTGTATCTGTTAGCAAATCAACATTCTGGCAACATGGGGAAATGGTCTGGAGTGAAGGGTCCAGGGGGATTGCAGGGTTTAGGCAGTGGAGGGACAGAAGTATGTCCCGAGGCAGTAAGATGCTGGACAGGGCCATATTTAATATCAAGCCCTGCTACTCTAATCAGTAAATGGGGTCCAGGGACGCTTTGCAAAGAGGTTGGGGATCCACCTAAATCTCTGCAGAATCTGCACTGTCCACTGGCTGACAGGCTTGGGAGGACTGGTCCTTTAGCAGGAGGATCATCTAGGTATCAGACAACAAGATTCTCCTGAGAACAAAGAGGAGCTTACTTGGTGTGCTGTAGACAGACTGGGGGGGGGGGGGGGGGGGGGGACAGCTGGGGTATAAATTGGTAATGCTGCGGGTATGTGTCCACAGCAAAATTTAGATAGCGTTGAAGAGGAAATATGGGGGAGTAAATAAGCATCTCTATTGTCAACTGAGGTCAGAGGGTCCCCAAGTAGAAGGCACACAATCAACCTGGCTGACTTCATGAAGAACCTTTGGATTTGCAGGAACAAATTCAGAATTTTCAGATCCATAATGTGTACAGTGCTTTCATTAGCCTTGGGAACAGTGAATATGTTTGAGTGAAAACCCTGAAATCATTCCTCATTTGAAATTAGTGCAACAACCCTATAACAGAAGTTGCTGAGCAGTAGCAAGGACATCCACCTATTTTTGCAAAGATGGCAAATGTGAGAACAGAGGGGAACAGAGTTGTGCACATGCATGCCAGGGGTAGATTGAGGCCATGCAGGTGCAACAGTGGCTCATTCGACAGACCAGAGCCAGAATGGGGTTGAAAACAACACCAATTTTTAAAATGGCTTGCAATTCTGCTGTATGGTTGTGACACAGTGTTCAAAAGTGTTGTAGGCTGTGCTCTGCAATAACCACCAGGGATTGGAGTTCCAGCAGACTGGCACCAGAAAAAAAAAAGACATGAAGACCATGATTTACAGTGGCAGACATCTTCAACACTAGATTAGGATGTTTGTGGTAGGCAAAGCCAGGATGGGCCTTGTCCCAATGTCTTCAGGGACAGAGCTCCACCACAGATGGACCAATGCCCTGAAGAACCCTGTGGCTAAGTCAAAGCAATGCACTATGTGCCAAGGTGAGCAACCATGCAGGATTCAGTGCCAGAAGCATCTTCCTAAGGCAGGGTCCCAGTACGGTCCCCCAATGCTCAGCCAAAAGGGTCAAAAGAGCCATGAAGCTGCATAGCTGCAAGACAGTGGCTACGGAGCAGCTAGGAAGCTTGAAAGAACAGCTTTGAATAAAAAGGCCATATTTTGGCATATCAGTCCCAGTACAGTATGGGGGACATATCTTGCCCAATCTACTCCCAAATGTTGTTTGTACAGTCCTAGCAGTGCCATTCACCAGAAGTGTGGCACTGGACATGGAGCCTGCAAGGCAAGTGCCACTAACCACCCACTGATGCCAAAGCAATCTCTTAACGCAGACTCAAAGGTTTTTTTTTTTTTTTTATCCCACCAACTATTGGGTATTTTTTAAAATTCCACAGACACTGGGCCATTTTATTTTTTTTTACTTGCACGGACCCTCAACTCCTGGGCATTCTTTTTTACTTCCACTGACCTCTCATACCACGGTATTTTTTTTTACTGCTACTGACCTAACATGACATCTATTACGCCCTCTGATCACGGATACCAGGACATCTATTACTACCTCAACAACTGATGCTAAGGCATTTTTACTACAACTGACAATACTTTTTTTTTTTTTTTTTTTACAACCGATGACACCTGAGCATTTGTCACACCTACTGACCTGACACAGGGGCATTTTCCTTTCTTCTTCTAGCCACAGTTAAGCCCCAACAGACCATGGAAAGGCTCTTGGTTAAAAAAAGTTTGGGGATCCCTGCCTTAAACTTACGTACTATCTAAAGCTAGCCATACACTTTACAAATGGATTGAAAAAAATTTTGTACAATTTCTCTTAAGAGTTACAGAAATTAAGTAACCCAAGGACATACCTAAACATGTCATTCGTATAAAGCAATTGCAATAGTTAAAAAAATAATTTTATATATATTGTGGGAACTCGCTTCAAAGTGGTAGAGCTT